ATGGTATTATGTTTTCTGTTTAATAATAGCTGGTAAAGAAAAATGATAATGTATTTTTAGGGTGTACTGTGTCACTATTTCAAATGAATTTTGTGGGGTTTTATTATAAACATTTTTGTTATTGGGTGTTAAATTTATTGAATGCCCTTTCTACTATCTGTCAAGGTGATAAAATGGTTGCTTTCCTTTATTCTGTTAACACTGTGGATTAGAGTGATTTTCTAATGTTAAATCCACTTTTCCTATTGGTTGATTTTTATCCAGCTGAAATATCCAAAATTTTGCTAAATTTTTTCTAATAATTTCCTGCTGATTCTTGGGAATATTTTATGTAAATACTGCTATCAACTTCCTTTCTGACTCTCATACTCAATTTTTAATTTTTTTGCATCATATGAACTCCATTATTATACTGCATATTAAGGATAAAACTAAAGTCACCTATTAAAAATACAAAACCCTATTTTCACATCAGGGAATCCTCTTAAATAAGATGCAAAAGCACAAATCCATAAAGGAAAAGTCTGATGGACTTGATTATATCTGATGGCAAATCCAGAGAAGATATTTTCATCTGGCAAGGAATATGTAGACTATACGAGGGTCTCCTACAAATCAATAAGAAAAGATGGAAAATGTAATAGTAGAATTGGCAGAAAATATTAATATACAATCCACAGACAGGATGCCTAATTGCTTTGATATACAAATGAAGAAGTACTTAAACTTATTAGCAATCAGAGAAATGCTAAACTAAAATAACAGTGAAATAATAATTCTTACCTATAATTTTGGCCAAAATAAAATGTTGGACAGTATCAAGTTGGGACTAAAAAGTAGGGCAGTCAGAATCTTCATATGTAAGTGTGTACTGATACAGCCACACAGAAGAGCAAATTGGAAATAATTATAAAAAATTGACTATGTGCTTACTCTGAACCTAAGGATTATAATCCTGTTATATGACATCCCTTGCTAAATTAAACCTCTCATACTGGTAAAGACATTTATGAAGCATGTTCATTGTAACATTGTGCTAGTTAGAAAAAAACTAAATATTCATCAATAGAAGAAATAGATGAAATATATGAAAATCAAGAGGAATGAATTTGTGTCACATAAACTGACATGGATAGATTTCAAAAATATAATATTGAGTGAAAAAAAATAACACAGTGTATCAAATAATACCATATCTGTAAATTAAAAGCACATACCTAAAGCAATACTATTTATTACCTGTGGACATATATCTTTGCAAATAAATATATAAGAGATGGCTTGGAAGAACTCACATTAAATGCACAAGAATAGATTTCTATAATGGAGAAAACAGATGTGAAGTTGAGGGCTATAAGTAATAATAAAATTACATGAAGAAATTAAACATAAAAGGGAAGTGGAGCATGGGTCAGTGAGAATTATGATCAAGCTAATTCTATGGATGTACAATCAAAGCACTAAGAGGGAACAAGGGAGGGAGGAAAGAAAGAAAGAATAAATGAAAAACATGCAAATGAATAGCTATACTGAAGGGTCAGAATTATGCCAAGAAACCAAAAAGAAGAAAAAGAAGATACTAGCTCTAGCTCTCAACCACAGAATGGGTTCTACAAAGTAAACTTTAAGTATCTAATGGAGCTATCTATAGAAGTATAGATACTTCTGTAAAAGATCTGAAGAAGAACTGGTGAGAAACTTAAAATCAGCTTATACCTTTAAGGTGTGCCAGCACCCCCGCCCCCAACCTCCCACCACCCAGTCACACCCTCCTGCCACTACGGCCATCTTGCCAACCCTAAAAATATGGAGTTCTTTTCTGCCTGAGGAAACCTTTTGAGACTCTTCCAACTGGCTTTTTAAATGAATAATGACACATGTACTGCTATATTTTAGGCAAGAATTCACATCTGGTGAATCACGGGGATTTTCTAATTTCAGTCATCAGTAGCCTTGGTTAGTGGAATCCTCACTAGTGTGACTGATGTTTTCCCAGGAGGATGTTGCCCCACCCTACAGAAGGTCCCCTGAATCCTCTCTACTCCCCAGAAGAAAATCCAGTTGACTGAATTATCTTATTTCCCTACAGTCAGCTTTCAGCTCATAATAGGAAAAATATTTGTGTAACTGTGGTTAAACTTCTGGAAAACACACATATGTGCAGAGAATAATAAAGAGGGGCGGGTGGAAAGCAGCTTCGGCCAGAGAGGGCTACGACAAAATTGAGCGGGCTTAACCAGGAGTCAGGAAGGTAGTAGATGCAGAGACTCATGTTAGCTCAGTGATTTGAAGCAATTCTGAGAAATTAAGAGTTTTCAAGCCAGCAGGAGTGTCAAGCCCCCGAATATGAGATATTTGTACTATTTTGTTTGGACTTTGTGAGAGATGCAGTGACGAACTCCAAGTGAGCAGACCTGAACAAACCCATAAAGTGTTTTGTCCTGTCCTGACATAGCAAGGCACTCACGAGGATGAAGAATGTGTGTGTCTCTTTGGAGGTGGCACATGCAAAACCAATCTGTCATTCACCAACATTTACTTCAAGTGCCAGTTCCAGTGCCAGAGTCTTTACTGAGAGACTTCCAGGACTCTCCTCCCCTTAACCCCACATGCACATACGCATACACACAAACACTCAAATAGAAAAATCGATATTATATAAGGTTTACCTAATCCTGTGTGTGCCCTGGATCTCAAGTGCCAGGTGTCCTACCGCTTTAAAAGGAGCTCAGAAAGGACTGAGAAAAAAAGGATTTAAAATTGAGAGAGCCTTCCAACCTAGCCATTTCCCCAGCTTTGCATTATCTTAGTGACTCTCCACAACCCCAACAACCCCGTGCAGTGTATATTATCATTATTATCCTATCAGAACAGATATAAGGAATCAAAGCTCAGAAATAAAATGTCATGCTCATGACCAGGAAGCAAGAAGCTGGGGCCAGCACTTTCTCCCACCCCCTTTCTGACTTCACCTGCTATGCTGTGCTCCTCCTATAAAATGCTCAAAACATTTGATGGAAGCAGTAGACACAAAAATAAAATCACTTCTCCAGTAGAAGTAAGTTGCAATTACAGATTTGAAGTCAATCATCTTTGGCGTCTCATTTTTTGGTAGACAAGGAAATGATGCAAGTGTCCCTCAGCTGGTAGTGATCCTCAGCCAATATTTTGCTCACCAATAAAATGAGAAGGTAAGCATAGAAAATGTCTAAAGATATTATAGATCTAACCCATTTGTGGTGTCACCCTCCCAAAGGACAATCTCCTTTCCCACTGTCAACTAGGACATCTCACTCTTTGTGTCTTCCCAATACCTGCCTTCATAGGGTGTCTTGTTCAACAAAACAGACCTTGCATGTTCCAGAAACAAAGAAAACAGCTGCCCACTGCCTTTACACTCCAGGAAACTGCCTGGATTGTTCACTTTATGGTTTCTGAAATGTCTCCAACTATTGAATTTGGGGGTTAATAAGACTCTTCTTAAAATGCAAACATTCTAGAAAGCTATTAATCATACTTAAGTATGAATTAGTTCAGCCTATATCTGTCTTCTCGAAATCCTCTTGAAATTGTTCTCTGAGAAAAATAGATGTGGCATTATTAGAAAGGAAGAGATATTTGGGGGGAATATTGTGAAAGTGGAAGCCCTCATAACTGGGATTGTGTGTATCTGGAAAGCAAGTACAGTACTACCCCTTTAGAATTGGGTGGACAGGATTTCAGTAGATGGAAAAATAGGGTGATAAACAGGCAGATGGGGAGGTGCAAAAGCAGAAGGTACATTTCATCTCCATGCCAACTCTACCTATACCACATCTAGATCTTATGACTCTCCATGGCAGCCTTGCATAAGACTGAGTCTCTGCTTCTCAAGAGTGAACACTGCAGAGTCACAGTTTACAAAACAGGATGCAATTCCTAGCCTTTTCTTGCCCAGCTAAGGTGGGAATTCTCTAGTTGTAAAGTACCTGTTCCAGAGAACTCCCATTCTATCTCATGACAAAATGAAAGAAATTGGAATCAAACTGCAGCATATCTGAAGCAGGTTAGATTTAAGAAGGAATTATTGATGACTTCACTTGTACAGTTCCATATCTCTGGTTTGTGTGGTTGAGTGAAGAGGTTTCTGCTTTATGTACTTTACAGGAAGCATGTATTATTAAAGGGGTCTTTTATGTGATTGTGGATTCAGAGTTGACTTTTTGGGGGCGGAGGCTGAGAGAGAGAAAAAAAGAGAGAGAACAAGCTCAAGCACACAAAAGCAGGATGCCCTTGGGCAATATTTCTATTCCCTTAACGAAATATGGAGAAAAGAGATAGTGGGTTTTTCTCCACCCTACTAAAGTCTTTGCAAATCCTTCCAGAGTATTTGCAAGTGGGTAACCATTTAATTCTACCCTTTTTTCCTCCCTTTGGTTACTAAGAAGTAACAGGCAATGGAAACATATTAGAGTGTTTGTGGATAGACTGTGCAGGGGTGTGTTCGTTAGCATTCTCCTATAAGCTTCTAATAAATGTGGGTGGGTATGCAGAGATGATATAATCAGTTTGTGGGGAGTGCTGCTCCCAACACATAGCAGCTGGCTCCCTCTCAGCAGAGTACTTACTATACTTCCTCCATGAAATGTCAGACTCCAAATAGACTGAGGATTTTTAACTCTAGTGAGTTTGTTGGCACAAAGGAAAAGAGCAGAACTTTGTCTCAGAATGGGTATTTGTTTTTGTTTTTGTTTTGCTAGCACTTATTGCCTAGACAGAGATCAAAGTGCCTTGCACATAGGATGACATGGGTAAAGAAAACCAAAACAAAACAATATCCTAGGGGTTTTTTATCCCAAAATTAAATAAATGAGGTTATTTTATAGGCATAGGAAGAATGCTTGCAATATTTGGGGAGAAAATGCTACAAAATTCAGACCTCAACCCTTATGATAGCCAGAGGCAAACCCAACTACAATTTCCATTTAATATTCAAAGCAAGCTGAACAGTTTGCCTTCTATTTGCAGAGACCAAGTAACAATGAGATTTTATTACACAAGAAAAGGTCCAGAACAGCTGTTCACATATTTGTAACAGAGTTTGGAAATACTTTATTACTAAGGCTTAGTCTGAGTCTTCTTTGGAATCCAACGCTTCATGTGTTTGCTGGAATATAACAGCTCTGCCATTAATCCTACTTTGCTTTTTGCCTTCCACCTACTTTTCCAGTCATCTGCATAGGAGCAGTGTTTGTTTGCATGATCTGGAAATGAGGGAATTGGCAGGAAGCAGATAATTTGTGAGGTGGGTAATGGGAGCAACTTGTTAGATGAGGTCCAAACAGAATCTTGCAGCCTACACTCCTACCATGCAATTGGGTAGGGGCCTTGTAACTCGTGTGTGGCCAAACCCTTAGGAGAGGCTCTTCCAGGAAATCTAGGTTTCACTCGTAAGACTAAAACCTCAAGGCACTCTGTCTTCAGTCTCGCTTTGGGTGAACTTTCTGTGCTTCACCAGGGTGGTCTTCTTGGCCTCCTTTATGCCTTTTTCTTACTCTGCTGTTGCGGGAGCAGTTCTCGTCATGCAATTATTACATTTACTGAATTGTAGATTGCTATGAGATGTGAACTCTTCCAACTTGTACTGAATTCCAATGAGTTGAACAATAGCTGTGATTCCTATAAAAGAATACAGTGGGAAGAGGCACAGAATTAGCTATAGAAAACAGAGCCCAAAGAACTTCTCTCTCATGACCCTATGATAGACATTGAAAAACTTTTAGTAAGCATAGACTAAGCCCTCTGTGTTTCAGAGTTAATGAAATAAAGTTGCATTTATGCTACTCATTCCAAGATGAAAATAAAACTCTGGTAACATTTGCACATACAGAAACCCCAGATGTGCATGGAACCTTGAGCCATGCTTATGAACCTAAGCTAAAAAAAAAAAGTATATAGCTGAAATACTGATTATTATAGTCAATGGTAAAAATAGAAAGCTTATTGAAAATATTCAAAGTTAATTCAAAGAGATTTTCATTTTAAGTCTTCTATCTCAGACAATGGTCTCATTGGAGTAAGGTAAATATCCTGATTCTGGAAGTAGGCAGCTAAGTGGATTGGCACTCAATTTTCTACATGAATCTCTACTATTTACAGGAAAGAGATTCAATATAACTCATGGTTTTCAGCCTGAGTTTTTAAGAAACTCAAGAGTCCAATGGGCATATTTCCCAGTTTCTGTCAATGTTTGAATAAAACTTAATTTTATAAACATAATTTATACAATTTTTTAAATTGTAGTATAAATCTATTGATTATATATCAGATTTTGAAACATTGAAGGCCAGCAATCTTAAACTTGCTAGACTGATTATATTCAAAGTAGATTTCTTTCATAGGACATTTTTTCATGGAAAGAGCTTTCACTAAATGACTTGATTTGTGCTACAGAATCTTTACGTCATTGTAATAGCCAACATTTGCAGAGTGTTGCCTAGCTCAAGTATCTCAGTGCCAGATACTTGAGCTAGGCATTTTACATAAGATGATTTAATGCTCACCACAACCCTATGAAATAGACCCTATTTTGTGATGAGGTAAATGAAGCTTAAGATAGAACAGACAATGGGCCTAACATAAATAGTGAAGCCAAGATTGGCACTTAGAGAGTCTGACTTCAAGGGCCAAGCCCGTAGCCACTGCCCCAGACTGCCCCTAAAGACATCTATATGACAAAATTCAGCAAATCTGGCACAGACTAAATCAATATCACAAATTCTTATAGTCTGTGGTAATGGATTCTTTTTCACCCTAATTTATCTATTTGTAATTAGATTGGTTAAAGAACTTTGGTATTTTTCACATAACAAATCACTTTTCATCCTCAGAGATGCCCAGAGCACTTTGCCTCTCATGCATAATGCATGATTATGAAGAAAGTTGAGGAATTATTTTAAGATATCATTCTTTGTACTTCTTCATTCATTAGCTGAACGTTATTAATTTTCATATTATTTATGCTCATGATATTGTTTTCATTGCTAAAATAAAAATGAGTCATTTTGTGATTGTACTCAACTGCAAGATCCAATAAAGAATGTTCTTGATATAACTACAACATGGAAATTGTATTTTTAAAAATAAGATAAAATAGCCCTATGTTTTTTAAGCTGCCTATGATATTGAAAATGCCTTGATTTCAGTCCAGCCAGGATATATCACTGGCAGCTCTAAAATTAGTTTACCTTTTTCCTCAGAAGCTTTAACTTATCACTTTTTGTAATCTACTATCTGGGGAGTCAAGAATACAAACTGCATTTCATATCCCTTACACCTCAAGTTTATCTCTGCCATTTAGATGATGTGATATTCTGCCAAAATTGCAGGATTTAAACACATTCAGCAGCCCAGGTTCAAGTAGCTAATTTTCTCTAAGAGGTTCTTTTTTTTTTTTTTTTAACATCAGACATCAGCAGGACATCATTATACAAACATAAACTGTTAAAGATAGTTTTCAGATTTCAATGACATCATTTTTATGCACCACTTAGGAGGTTTTGTTTATTTTTAAAAATCATTTTACTTGTATTCTGATAACCAATCATGTGGTTTTAAGTACCCATTTCAGAGTCTAAAATGGATAATACTTACTAAAAGTTTTATTCACATAAAACTAGATCTTTAAAGGATTTATTTGTCTATGAATAGGATTTCTTTGTGTCCTTACCTTGGAAAGGTGGTAAGAGTATCCCTAAAAATTCTAGTTTTCATTTACTTTGAGTTCCACAAAACTACCAGAAACCAGAAACTTCAAAATGTGATCTTTGAATTAACACACAATAGGAAGAAGTGTGTTTTTTAGTAGACATAAGGCCCATAAAAGCAAAGCCATTGCAAGACCTAGAGTTTATATTCTCTAAAGACCTAACACAACTCAAAATTACATGAACATAGCCTTTTTTAAGGGCTGATGGTATTTTTTTAACTTCAACATCAGGGCCAATATTTATTATATGCATTAACCATTTCTTTCTTGTGCTCTTCTCTTTGCCCTTCCTGTTTTCTGACCTTTATCTGATAGTTGATATCAGATCTGTTATCCTGCAACAAATTCCCTCAGTACATGGTACTAACCCAAGACAAATGGACCCACCAATTGTATTCTATGCTTGGTATCAGACAAAGCATAGTCCTTTGATTCAAGTGACAAAAGTAAAAGCTTTCTGAAAAATGATTTTCCCTTTCAAACTAATTTCAAAGAAATTTTAAAACAATCTAATGCTAAAGAAAAAATATATTTTAATGTTTAGTGAGTAAGGAAACTCAGATCCAGTTTGGATGGAATGAAACCCCATTGCTCTTTTCTCTACCTCTCTTCCTGCCAATTGGTCCCAAAGGCAGGTGCATTTATGAGAAGTGGTCAGCAAAGCAGGTTAAATAAAGCCCCACCTTTCCAGCCAGAAAGGACAAACAATGGGAACTCACCCTCAAGTTGCATATGCCTGGACTGGATCTTAAACAACATAATGAAGACTGTGAGAACTAAACTAAGAGATAGGTCCCATACTGGCCATTGGGTTTTGTGTACATAGGACAGATCAGAAAAGTACTGGAAAAGGTTTGAAAATGAGATTGATATTGAAACCACAATCCACAGAAGGCTGAACAAAAATTGTGAGTTAAATCCAATTGGGTCAACTGCCTGCTAACCCAAAAACATCAACGTTCTCCATAGGATTTACAAAAAACCCGAGAGTCTCATAATGTAACATTCAAAATATCCAGGATATAATCTAAAATTATTTGGTATACAAAGAACTGGGAAATCTCAACCTGCGTGGAAAAAGACAAACAATAGACAACAACACTGAAATGACACAGATATTGAAATTATCTGACAAAGTCTTTATAGCAGATATTATAAAAATGCTCCAACAAATAAGAGAGAGCACTCTAGAAATGAAAACAAAGACAAAATTCTCAGCAGAAAAGAGGAAGTTATTGGGAAAAATAACAGAGCCTCAAGCTTTTTACTAAAAGATCTAATCCTTGTGCCATTGTAGTACCAAGGAAGAGAAAGAATCCAGTGCTTAAAAAATTTTTGAAGATATAATGGCTGCAAACTTTCAAAATATATAGACATAGACATACATATTCAAGAAGTTTAATGAACATCAACCCCCCAAAAAAGAAACTCAGAAATCCATGCTTAGAAACCTCACAATCAAACTGCTGAAAATTAAACCAAAGAAAACTTTTGAAAGCAATCAGAGTAAATGACACATTATGTATAAGGAAAGAATTCAAGTTAATCAGAAATCCTAGTTGAACAACATTTTTAAAGAGCTGAAAGAAAAGCACTATGAACCCAGGACAATATACTGTATATAGTGAATATAGCCTTCAGGAATATTCACTTCAGAAAATACTTTCTCAGCAGGAGGAAACCTAAGAGAATACATTGTCAGCAAACCTGCTCCAAAATAATTGATAAAGGATATTTTACTGACAGGAAAGAAAAGGATAGCAGAAAGAAATTTGGAATATCAGGAGTAAAGGAAAAGTATCAGAAATGATAAATATCTATGTAAGTATATTATTCTCAGTAAATATTTTGTTCTTTCCTCTCATGTTTTTTAAATTATTATTGTAGGCAGCCTTCTCAAATGGCTCCAAATATGGTCCCTCCTTCCTGGTATTCATGCCCTAGATCTAGTAACTTGATTCTAACAAACACAGGTTGAGGATCCCTAATTTGAAAATTCAAAACCTGAAATGCTCCAAAATTTAGAACTTTTTGAGCACTGACATGATGCCACAAGTGGAAAATTCTACACCTGACTTCATGTGATGGTAGCAATCAAAACTTTGTTTCGTGCACAAAATTATTTAAAATATTACGTAAAATTACCTTCAGGCTATGTGTATAAGGTGTGTATGAAATATAAATGAATTTCAGTTTTGACTTGGGTCCTATCCCTAAGAAATCTCATTATATATATATGTAAATATTCCAAAATCTGAAAAAATCTGAAATCTGAAGCACTGCTGGTCCTAAGCATTTCAGATAAGGGACACTCAATCTATAGAATATAGCAAAACTATCACTTCCATGGTTACACTGTCAAAGATGTGACCCCCATCTTTTTTTTTCACCCAGCTGTGTCATTTTGTATTCCCACTAGCAATATGTGGGAGTTCCAATTGCTCCACATTTTTGTCAGCACTTGAAATTGTTAGTATTTTAAATTTTAGCCATTCTATAATAATAAGTATGTATTTCAATTTGATTTTAAAACAAAGATACAAAGTACAGCTGCTCTGTAAAAGTTTGGCAGTGTCTTATAAAGTTAAATATACACTTACAGTATGGCCTAGTGCTCCTACTCCTGGCTATTTACTTTAGAGAAGGAAAACAAATGTTCACACAAAAACCTATATACAAATTCTAATAGTAGTTCTATTCATAATTGCCAATAATTAGAAACAATTGTTATCCTTGAACAGGTGAATGGGTAAACAAATTGTGACACATTTATATAATGGAATATCATTCAATAATAAAAGGAATTAATTATTTAAATATGCAATGACATGGATGAATTTCAAAGGTGCTATTATCAGTAAAAGAAGCCAGTCTTGAAAAGTTATATACACTGTGATTCCATTCATATGGCCATCTCAAATACTACAGTGGCAGAGAACATATCAGTAGTTATGAGGGGTTAGGTGGGAAGAGGGTACAACTAGCATGAGGAAGAGTCCTGGGATGAGGGAATGTTCTATATCCAGATTGCAGTGCTAGTTACAGAATCTACATGTGTTAAATTTACAGAGCTGCATACCAAAAGAAAGTCAATATTACTGTATGTTAAATCACAAAATATCATTTTTAAAAACTTTAAAAATATGGTCTTTGTCTCAAAAAGCTTATAGGCAGGAAGACATTAAAGAATACTCAAAACACTAGTAAAAGGCTTTCTACCAAGTCGGTGCTCAAAAACTAATCAAGGGAAACATTATACACGTCTTTAACGCAAACAAAATTACTTATTTCTCTCTGCTAAGAAAGAGAATTTTTATGCTCATCTTCTTTGTGCTAGAGATCTTCCTGCTCCAGAACCCCCACTCCCTCCACACTCTTTAAATTAGGCATTAGTCTCCATTACCCCAAGGAAAGGGAAATCCCATGAGAAATACAAAGAAAAATAGTTTAAATATTGGTTTGAGAGCATCAAGAACTCAAGGTCTGACACTGAAGAAATTTCTGGGGTAATTTAACTAAACTAGATTTTCATCTTGCCAGCACATAACAACACCCTCCTCCATCTCTGCCCCTCTCCAAGTAAGAACATCCCTCTGTATTGACCTGGAATAGCTCCACAGTGCGTATTTCAGTTCCCAATCTATAGGTGGAAGAATCAGGCTATCTTTAAAATAGTTATGAAGATTTCCCCTTGGCTTTAACTTGGTTCTTTTTTCTTCTTTTTCTTTTCTTTTTTGTTGGGGTGTAAGAAATAATTTGCCCTAAAAATGGCAATGTTTTGCTGGAAAGAAGGAAGGAAGGGAGGAAGGAAAGAAGGAGGGAATGAAGGAGAAGAGAAAGCCTAACTGCTTTTCACAGGTTCTAAAACTTCTAACTGAACTTCTCAAGAGGTTTCTTTGGTTGGTTGGTTTTTTTCTACAAGTTGTTTCAATTTCTCATCTCCTGTTTATTTCTCTAACCTCTGAAATTCAGTTTCTACCTTCATCACTGCACCAAAAGAGCTTTTGCTAAGGTCAATAAATTAATTCCATGTTATAAAATCTGTGGATATGTTTCAGTCCTCACCTACTACCACATGTGTTAATCATCTCTTCTTTTGAAAAATGCTGTCTTACCACAGTCACTATCTCCTCTATCTCTGATCTTTCCTTTGCAGGTTCACACTCTTCCACCTAGCCAGGTATCAAAGGTTGGACTTCCCCAAGTCTGGGTAATAGACGATCTTTTTTGTCTCATACTCTATGTTTTCCAAGAAAATTACATACATGTCTATAGCTTTCATCACCATGTATACAATACTATGATCACTCTACCAAATTTATAGCACTAGCCCAGGAGTATTCTCTGAAATTTATATCTTTTCAACTTCCTATCCTACATATCAATTTGGAAATCTCAAACTCAGCATATCCAAACTTGGCATATCCAAGTTGAGCATATACAAAAACCAGTATATTGCTCTATCCCTAAAATATGATTCTACTTCTGTTTCCCCTATCTCAGTGAAACTTACAGAGCTAAGAGTTCTTTCTGAACCTTCTTCATCTTATGACTCATACTCAGTTCATCACAAAGTTCCACTGAATTTTCACCCTCTTAATTGTTACTGGTCTACTCTAAGAACAAGCAGTTTTTACCTGGACTACTGCAATAGCTTCTTAACTGATTTCCCTACATTCATCTATCTGGTCTTTTTCTAATCTGTTCCCTGTACTAGAATAAGTGTGATTTTTTTCAAAAATGGAAATGTAGTTATTTTCCACCCACCATTCTGAGCTATCCTCATGCCATCTAGCTGAGCCCACGGTTGCCAATGGACACATACTGGTCCAGGTGACTGTGACTGCGTATACATGTGAATGAAAATACATAAGAGAGACCTGCATGAGCAAGACTAAGAATGTGTTTATGGTATATCCCTAATCATGTTTCAAAGCCCCCCAGAAAGCTCCTAGGCTTGTTCACTATTTGAAATTATTTGTGCCTTTTCATAGGAAATGTCACTTGTGTAACAAAAGTCTCTTCCCTTTCCATTCTTATTTTTATCTTTTTATGATACACGGAAGTCTTGAATTTCAGGGGACTTTGCCTTTTGAGAGTAGCATGGTAGAGCACAAAGAGCTCCAATTAGGGAGTCAAACATGTGGATTTAAAGCACAGCTTTGCAATTAATTATCATTTTAGCCTCAATTTCCTTTTAAAATGAACACATCTCATAAATTTCTTTTGAGAATTTGGTAAGTACTATGCAAAGACCCTAACATGTCATCTGACATGCAGTCGATGGCCAGCGAATGTTTTTTCTTTCCTACCTGGATAGGTGGTGCCAAAGTATTCTATGCCAAAGAAAACCTCAAAATCATTTGCAAACTTCTCCATAGCTTAAGTTTGCTTCACAGACACTTGGAAGTGAATGTTGAGTGAAAATTTCATTTGTGTTGCTTCTTTTTAGCTAGCATATATTGAGCACTTCCTATATGCTAGGCTTCATGCTATGCAATTTACATTTATTATTTAATCGCTGCAAATCCTCTATGATATATTATACCACCCCATTTTACAGCTAAAACTGCCAGAGCTAACATTTTGAACACAGGCCAACTGACACCAGACCATGTAATTTTATCTATAGGATTCTGACCTCTCTCATTTAGAGACCTAATCCAGCAAACTAAGAGGAGAAATGCTGCCTTTGATCACATAAGTTTCATTAGGGACCTATAGAATATTTTACTTCATTTTGCTAAAATCCAGAGCCAGGAAACTTGACCACATGAACTTCTTTGTATGAAGCAACTTCACTTTACTAAATTACATAGCAGTTCTAAGCTTAGAAACCAAAAATGTGCTTTATTTGTCAATGTTTGGTAGTACTCAAATAGTCTTTCTGAAAGTATAGCATTTAATACCTCTTTCTGACAGCATTAAACACCAATACCATAAAGGATTATTCATGCAATATTACAAACAAGAATTTGGCAAGAAGAAAGAATTTTAATTGTGATCTTTATAAAATCAAGAATAGTTTAGGGACCTTATTTTGACAGCACCATGTAAGAAAGTATATAAGCCTCTATCTTTGACAATACTAAGTAGATTTCCAAATAAACTGTCTCTGAAAGAAAAGTCTGAACTGCAGAAAATATTCGACATGTATAGGGATTGTGCACCCGGAATAGTTATGCAATGTGATATGCACTGAGTTCATATATAGGGAAACATTTATTTTTCCCCAAGGCTAAGGTTAAAATTAATCCCATAAGGGAGCTCTATACCAGTACCCAAAGAAAAACACATTTGTCTGACAGCCTACAAAGAAATCTGTAGGAAAATATGAGAGATATATCTGGAATATTAGCTTACAAATCTGACTGCATTTCATAGAAATGGTAAAGGTTTAGATTCACAAACCCATGTGAAAACTACAGAGTACCTATAGTTAAATAGAATTGCTGCTTCGTTGTACTGGTTTTTGCTAACCTTGGACTACAGTTCTGTGAAATATAATAAATATGGGTGGAATCTATTAATGTTTTGTGTAAGTGTATCCAGAGGGAGTAATCTAAGGGCACTGATTTTGCTAGCTGACAAGTCTCCATTTTCCTTTAATGACATCATTTTATCATTTGAAATAGTGAAGATGTATTAAATTATACTTAATAAGCTTGTAAAATGCTAAATATATGGTAGGTGCTCAGTGGAACTGAGTCAATTGACCAATGTTTCTTAAAGTGCTAATGATATTTTTAAGAGGGCAGAGTTTAGCTAATGAACTTCTCTGTTTCTCTGCTTCATGCTTTCAAATGACCAACTTTCATCTTCAAAACAACCTGCAGCTAAAATATAATCAAATCCATTTTTAAAAGACAATTAAGAGTACAATAAAATGCCAAGATTGATGGACTTTAAAGAGAGCTATCATTTTAAAAAATATCAGTTATACTAAAATTTTTTAATAAAATACCTTTGTATATAACTTTGATATAATTATATCTTGTGAAGAGAGTTAAATAGAGCTGCTTAATTCAATTCCTACATAATAGAACGATCCGCTCTCACAACACAAAATACTATAACTGTGCATTGATGTGGTAGACACATCCTAAGGTGATCCCCAGTGAGTCGTGCCTTTGGATAATCCTTTCCCCTTCCAGGTGAGGGAAATCTGTAAACTTGCTTCTAACCAACAGAAGCTGGAAGATCTTCCCTTCCTTTGGTTACTATTATCTGTTGAAGGTAATGGGATGTTTTTCTCATGATTGTATTATGTTATTAAATCAGTTTCCTAAGACTGATGCAACAAAGTCTCACAAATTTGACCTCTTTGAAAAAAAAACAGAAATTTATTCTCTCACAGTTTTGGAGGCAAGAAATCTGAAATCAAGGTGTCTATAGGACCATGCTCTCCCTGAAGGCTCTACAGAAAAAATCCTTCCTTACCTCTTCTAGCTTCTGGTGGTTGCCAACAATCCTTAGTGTTCTTTGGCTTGCACTAGCCTAACTCCAATCTCTGCCTCCATTTCCAAATGGCCATTTTCCTTCTGTGTGTTTGTGTGTATCTGTTTTCTCTCCTTATAAGGACACCAGTCATTGGATTAAGACCTACCCTACTGCAGTAGGACCTCATCTTAACTAATTCCACCTGCAAAGACCCTGTTTCCAAATATAGTCAGATTGGTTCCAGGTGGACACGAATTGGGGTGGGGGGGGCAAGGAGGCACTGTTCAACCCCGTATAGTTATATAAGGCTATATAAGTTATATAAGGGAGAGACTATCCCTTGTTGAGTTAGAAGAATTAAACTTCTAGGCTTTGAGAGGGTTTGTGAGGGGACCACATAGCAAGAAATTGTAGGCAACCTCTAAGAGCTGAAAGCTGCCTGCTCCTGGCTGACAGTCAGGAAGAAAATGAGGACCTCTGTTCTACAACCACAGGGAAATGAATTCTGCCAACAACCTCAGCTTGAAAAAGACCAAGCTCCAGAAAGGAATGCAACACACTGACACCTTGACTGTGGTCTTGCGAGACTCTGAGTAGAGGACCCGACTCAACCATGGTTGGGACTCCTTACCCACGGAAGAGATGAGGTAACAAATGTGCAATGCTGTGTGGTACAAAATTTGGGGCAGTTTGTTATACAACGTAGAAAATCTAATATAATTGGTATAGTGTTTTAAAGGTTTGAATCACTGTACCTCATTTATACTTTCCAAAGCCAAATCTAAAGGTATTTCTTCAGCCCTAAGTTAGCATTTTAGTGTAGTCACATGGACTATTGGAAATAACCAATAAAACATGAGTGTGCTTAGCAAAATCATAGAATTATAGTACTCAGAAGAACCTCAGAGACCATATATTCCAATCCTCCCATTATAGAAATAAAGAAACTGAAACATGGATATAGAAACTGATTCTCTTGATCAGAGATAGCAAGTAGACAAGGCAAACAAAGGTTTCCTGGGATCCAGTCCTACATTTTTTCAATATTGTAGATCCTCACCAACTCACTGGGTTACTTTGAGATTCCTAATGCAAAATTACAGAAAAGCTGAAAATAAATCACTGACTTTTAAAAATGCATATAAGTTATACAGCTTAATAAATGTAAATATGCACAATTAGCACTAATTAGCTCCTAGAAAAGTGCTGGTCACATTTCATTTACCAACTAAATGTTTGATAAATTAAAAATTAATATAATGTCTTCATATCCAATCACCATTATGCAACATAAAAGACAGGAGCCCTTCCCCACTTATCTTGATTTGAAGGCAGCACAGCTCTGTGGGCAAAAGCCATGGCTATGCAGTCAGTACCCACTGAGTTTGAAAGCAAGCTCTAACATTTATTCCCTTATAAACTTAAGAGATTTCCTCAAACTCTTACCTGGCAGTTTTCTCATTTGCAAAATGAAGGTGATAAAAATGAGCTCCCATTGTTCTGTTTAGGTTCAATGAAAATAACAGAGGTAAAATGTCTGGCATTTACAAGGTGCTCAATAAATGTTAATCTATTTCCATTTGCTGATGAATTTGTTTTGAAATGGAGAACAGTTTTTCCAATATTCAGATGTTTCTCTGACTATAATCTGTGTTAGGGGCATTTAATACAAGTCTACCTTTGATTCTACATTAAGTAAAATTTTCTTTGAAAACAATTTTCTTTTGTAAGGATTACTCTTCTTGATTCTAACTATTCATCCCTTCATGCCCTCAAAAATCTCAGGAGAAAAGAAAAGCCCAAAAAG